ATTTTTTTATTCAGCAGGCAGCAGTGTTTGCAAGCTGTTCTACTCAAAAGAATCCTGAAAAAGATTAAATTTTGTTGTTGTTGTTAGTGTTACGGTTCCTTCGTTCTGCAGTCTCAGCATTGCTACTGGTCAAAAGTTCAGGTCTCCAGCATAATGCCTGAGAATGTCAATGCATCTTGCCATTTGCAAAATGTCTGGTGTCTGATCCTTCTTGACAATTCATATCTTTCTAAATTATTTTAATTTTAGAAACAAAGAAACTGTCATGCTACAAGGAAAATGCCATCTTTATTTGCAGGAATCTCAACACCGTATGCCAGCTGCGTTTTTCCTGTTTCTATTATTTTTAATATTTAGCAAAGAAAACACACACAGAAACAAAACAGTGATAATATAAACCCAAAATACATCTTGACATATGTAATAGTGGAAAATAAATAAATAAATAGAAGCTTTAAAAGCTCATATAAAGGTAGTCCTCAACTTACAACTATTTGTTTGTGAACGTTTGAAATTACAATGACTTACAACCAGTCCTTGCACCTATGACTGTCACAGCATTCCCACAAATCAAAATGTGGGCGCCTGGCAATCTAGCATGTATTTATGACAGTTGCAAGATCTAGAGGTCATGTGATCTTCCCAGCTGGTTTCCCACAAGTAAATTCACTTAACATCCGTGTAATTAACTACTGGGAGGATTCATTTAACAATTATGGCAAAAAAGGTCATAGAACTGGGCAAGATTCATTTAATAACTATCTTGTTTAGCAATGGAAGTGCCTGTTCCAATTATGGTTGTAAGTCAAGGACTACCTGTATACTGTTAAACTGAAGAATACTTAAATATTTAAGAAGCTCCAAAATCCATACTTTGTAAATTAGACAATTATCTCAACTGACTGCCTTAACGCTATCATTTAATATTGCACAGCAGACTTTTACCTAGAAATTATCCAGTGTTATCATTGAAGTTACAGATCTATAAACAACATGTCAACTGTAGCCACAGCTGTATTGTTTGGTATCACAAAACCATTTTCTCCCTAGAATTAAAACACTTTCCTAAATAGATAATCCCAAAATACACATCTTATTATATATGCTACATCACCTCTTTTTCAAAACATTAAATCTGCTAGCTTAAACATATAATAGCACTTAAAAGTTTGTTAACCCTAACCCTTTTGAATGTTCAGTATTTCTGCATAAATATGACCCAAAACATGATGGGTTTCCACACAAGTCCCAAAACTATATAAAAAGAAACCAATTAAATAAATGAGGCAAAAACATTACACTTGTTTATTTACTGAGAAAAATGACCCAAAGATACATATTTGCTTGTGGAAAAACCATACCGATGGCAGTAACTGCAACTAAACATTTCCAATAATTGTTGATCAGTCCTGCATATCAGCTTTGAGAAATTTTAGACTATATCCCTCTTTACAGAACAGCTGCAGCCAAGGGAAGATGGAAAAAATCCTCACATCAACTTCAGGTTCTTCCATAACATTTTTACAGAATTATAGTCAGGCCAATAACTTTGTCATTTGAAAATATTAACTTGGTTCTGTTCTGCTTTAACCATTATTTGATTATATGGCTTGTGAGTTTTGGATCATCATCTTGCTCCATGATACACTTTCTCTTGGGTTTCAATTCATGAATAGATCAATATTGGTCTCTACATCTCAGGCCCATTGGCTGGATCATGTGCCTCCTACAAAGGAATGTGCCCAAATAATGCCCAATACATTCAAAAACGCAAGTCTAGGTTTGGGGGTTCCTTATAAACATAAATTTGTACACATTTCTGGAAAAATACATTTAACATGCTTTATTAAACACAAGTTTAGCATTCTTTCAAAAGAGCTCTAGACCTCTGTTTAAAAAAACAGATACAATGCTCACTTCAGACCATCGCTATTCTTGTGCTGCACAGAAAGTTGATTTAACCCAGTAAAGGGATCCAGATCGAGGCAACTGCATTCCAGATTCTTATCCTGGTAAGTGCATTATAGGTAGTCCTCGACTTACAACCATAATGGAGCCCAACATTTCTGTTGCTAAGCAAGACAGTTAAGTGAGTTCTGCCCCATTTTACAACCTTTCTTGCCACAGTTGTTAAGTGGAATCATTGCAGTTATTAAATTTCTAACATGGTTGTTAAGTGAATGTGGCTTTCCCATTGACTTTGCTTGCCAGAAGGTTGAAAAATGTGATCACAGGATCCTGGGACATTGCAACTGTCCTAAATATGAGCCAACTGCCAGGCATCTGAATTTTGATCACGTGACCATGGGGATGCTGCAGCAGTCATGTAAAAAAGTGTCAGTCACTTTTTTCAGTGCTGTTGTAACTTTGAACGTCACTAAACAAATGGTTGTAAGTGGAAGACTACCAGTAATGAGGAATTTCACAAGATTATACTTGTTTTTAATACTTGGAAAGAAGTGCTGCCCTTTTGCCAAAAGACTATGTCTGGTTGCTGCCGTCCTTGCTATTTCTGGATAGTAGTAGGCAAGGATGAGGCTCACTCATCCTTGGCCTGGTTCACCCTGCACCACTCTTGCTAACTGGACTGACAAATCACGGTGGAGGTCTGGAGTGAAGCAAGGATGAGATATTTTGTGGGAGAGGAAATGAATCCTTGAGCATCCATCAATCACTTCCACTTATCCAACATTAAAACTGTAAGAACACCATTACTTGCTGGCCTATTCAGCCATCAGTTCAATTTATGCTTAAGCACTTTTCTGCAAGTCCCTCCCCCCCCTTTTTTTTTGAGAGCCAATTTGGTGTAGTGGTTAAGGCATCAGGCTAGAAATTGGGAGATCAAGAGTAAAGTTTTGCTTTAGGCACAAAGCCATCTGGATGACCTTCTCGATTTCTCTCAGCCCTAGGTAAAAGGCAAATGGCAAATCACTTTTGGGGATTAAAAAAAACTTGCCACAAAAACTGCAAAGATTTTTGTCCAGTCAGTCTCCAAGAATCAGGTTAGAAAAAAAAAAATCAATACCTGCCAGCTGATAGGCTGCCTATATCTTTAGTCAACAAAAAAATGACCCTTATTACTTTTGCCTATTTACATATACATATGTGGCTTCCATGCCTTTTTGAGCAGACCTTTGCTCAACCTGGCAACTAAAAAAGACGTTGAGACTCTAGAAAGAGTGCAGAGAAGAGCAACCAAGATAGAATTGGGTATGTCTAGTTTAATGAGAAGGAGTAGGGATGACATGATGACAGTGTTTTCAGGGGTTTCCACAAAGAAGAGGGAGTCAAGCTATTCCACCTTGAGGGCAGGACAAGAAGCAATGGGTGGAAACTAATCAAAGAGAGAAGCAATTTAAACTAAGGAGAAATTTCTTGACAGTTAGAACAATTAATCACTAGAACAACTTGCCTCCAGAAGTTGTGAATGCTCCAGGGCTGGAAGTTTTTAAGAAGAGATTGGACAACCATTTGTCTGAAAGGGTATTGGGTTTCCTGCCTAAGCAGGGGGTTGGACTAGAAGACCTCCAAGGTCCCTTCCAACTCTGTTATTCCATTCCACTTTCAAATATGCTGGAGTTCAATCCTATGATTCCCAGCATGGCCAATGGTTGCGGATGATGAGCTCTGTAGCCGAACACCTTATAGGCAGACAGTTAATATATGGAAACTCTGAGCTGCACCCACTCCTCCTTACATTTGGGATGAAAATGACAGACGAACGCTATTAATTGCTCCTTTCTCTACGGGCTGCCCAGCCTTTCACTTCTGCGGTAATTCCTTCATCTACACGCTGAGCAATTAAAGGTAAGGAAGCAGGAGCGCCACCAATGAACCCCTCGCCAACACTCACCGCCCATGGAACCTTCAGACACTTCCACGCTCAGCTACCCACGTTTTCACGATTTCTTTCTCCGCCTCCAGCCTTTTCGAGTCTCTGACGGCGACCAGGCTCCCTTACAGGCTGCCGCCTACAGCCAATCCAATTGCTCTTCCGCAATAGGAAACGTAAAGCGTATAGGAAGGCGGGCTCTTGTGTGTGGGGGGGGGGGGGGGGGGGGGGAAAAAAAGATGTGGGGGGGGGGGGGGGGGGCGGATGAAATATCATTGGAAGAGCTCATCCAATCAGAAGTGGTCGAGGTAGCAAGAAAGTGATACGGATGCTGGAAAAGAAAAAAGCCGAAGGACCCAAGACAGCCGAGGAGCCACGTGACAGATGCCAGGGCGGGAGGAATGCCGGAGTTCTCGTTCTGCGCGTGCGCTGCATCTGAGCTCGCGCGGCTTTTCTTTGGTTCTGGTCGTACGAAGAGGAAAAAAAATGCGGGGAAACCGGATTATTTTTGACTCGCTTTGTGACCGACTGTTATTAGCCATTCTACCAAAACGCGTGGAACGATGTAGGCCATATTGACTTACTGTATTAACGCCATCTCGCTAACGGCATTTAAACAATAGAACCTAAACTGGACAAAACACGGTTAAACAATCCTTAACGAACGAAGAGGAATCTACCTGTCTCGGGATAATGTTGCAGGAGGATCCAATGTGGATCGGTCACCGGCACCAGAGGTTTAGTCTTCCGAGCTTTCGGATTCCAAAAGCTCGGAAGACTAAACTTCTTGGTCCCGGTGACCCACCCAGATTGGATCCTAAACGACCCTTATCTGGGAGGGTTTTTCCTTGCACAGGGGATTTGAAGCAGTTAAAAAGAGTAGCATTGCCCTCGCACGTCGTTTCGGCCAAATCCGCTGAATGACAGCTCCTTAAACGACGCCGAGACTTTTTAAAGAGCAAAATAGGTTTATACCTTAAAAAGAATTCAAGCACTGATAATCTTTTAACAAAAGCGTGAGAAAACGAGAGAGGCTGCGCTGCAGACCGCCACGTGGACGCTGCCTGGCATAATAAAAAAGGAAAGAAAAACCCGTGCCTGGTTACAGTACAGAGAGCTATATAGGTTGACTCGCTCTCAGCCCCGCCGCTTTTGTAGCCGAGGTGGTTTTCTGAACTTTACGGTAAGGGTCTTCCTCCTGGCCCCTCCCCGCTTGGCCGCTGAACGGCGGGGCCCAATGTGGCACTGCGCGCCGCCAACTCCCTCCTTTGAGCCCGGACGCTTCGGGCGCCGAGAGATCGAGCGAGCGAGCGGGCGGCTTTAAAATGTCAAAGCTGGATCCAATTTGCCAGCGCGGGAGCGAGAGGATGAGGGGGACGTCTCTTCGCCGGGGCTGAGGCAGCCTTGCCTGCCGGACGATGAGGGTCTCTTGCAAAGTGGTGGCCCTGGCGCTCTGCCTGGCGCTCCTGCTGCTCCTCTACCTCTTGGTGGCCAACGCCGACGAGCCGCCTTTGCCAGCGGCGGGAGAAAGCCCCTCGGGGCCCCTGGCCGCCGGGAACGACGTCGCTCCGCCGCTCCAGACTCGCTTCAGATCCGTCCAGCCGGCGGAGCCAGAGAAAGAAAAAGCGGTTCTGGTTTCCAAGCGGGAGCCACGTCCCCACCGAAAGGCAGGCAAACGCAGCGCGGGTCGATCCAGAGGGAAGTCAACGAGCCTTCGGTAAAGCTTTGCGAGTCAGTCGATCCCTTTTTTTGCGGGTTGAGCCCCGGTGGATCGTATCTTGATACAAAATGGGTCGGTCAGTCGCGATTTGGGAGAGGTGGGGCCTCATCCTTCTATCGGCTCCTAGGGTGGGAACCGGGTTTCTCTTGAGAGGTACGCCCTGAGCCACGCTGGTAAACTCCTTGGGTTTTTTGTTTTTGTTTTTTGCTTTGTGAGGAGGGGGAAAAAAAGTCATTGAAACTTTATCCGATTGCGGTTGGAATTCTTATTTGAGGGATTTTACTCCAAGATGCAGATTGGTGCCTTCCGTATACTTTCAAACATATGAAAGATGCATGGCACAAGTATGTTCACACGGATGCTAAGCCGGCATGCAGCTTGCCATTTAGTAGGGTAGAGTCCAACAACCATGTTTAATGTGTCATTTAATAATCAGGCTGTGGTGGTGGTGTGGGAAATGTAAATTTGTATGCATAATTTGTAAAGCTGTTGATTGTATACAATGATGTTAGAACTATGAGAGAGAGTGTATGTGTGTGTGTATACACACACTGAAAGGCCACATCTCTCTCTTTTTCTGGAACATACATATATTGCTCAGAAACGTAATGTTTTGTGAGGTGAACTCACAGCTGTATACAGGATGTTAAGCAGCCTTTAAAGATCCACTCAATCCCAATATAGTTTCCAGTTTTAAACCCATTGACTGGTAGATGGGAAGAAAAATCAGTTGCCCAAACTGATTTCCTGAAAATGTTTCTGTATCAGCAACTGAAGTCCTCCATGCTTAATCCTTTGTTTCTGGAATGTTTATACTGTTCTCTGCTTACTATTGTTTCACTCTTAATGGTTTTCCTCTATAGAGATAACAAAGTTTTGAATTACTTGGAAAAGATGACATGCATTGGCTTCCTGTCCTGTATATCTGTTCCAATTAAATGCTTATAGTAATGTTCTTAACTGCTAGTTTACATGTTGCTGAAAGCTATGTGGGAATTTGTCAGCAGTTCCACATTGGAGTTTTCTTGTGCCTACTCATTTGGAAAAAGAAATAAAGAACCATGGCTTAACACAATATTCGAACTAATAGAGAGGCAGTTTGGTCAAATGATTAAGGCACCAGGCTAGAAATTAGGAGACTGAATTCTAGTCCTTAGATGTGAAAGCCAGTAGGGTGATACTGGGTCAGTCACTCTGTTAGCCCAGTTCACCTCACAGAGTTGCTTTTGTGGGGAAAGAAGAGGAAGGAGGAGTATTATGTATGTTCACTGCCTTCAATTATTTATAAAAAACAATAAAGGCAGGATATAAATAAAATTAATAATGTCCCTAACCCAGGTCCTTGGGAAGGACTTGACAGGAGGATAAAAATGCCAAATCCAGTTTAAACATCTGGGTGACTGCAACAAACCATAATATTAAAAACTGACACTTAAGTTCTAAATTTTATCAGATGCATGGAGGTTGAACTGGAAAAAGGGAAGAGAAGAGCAATAGATATGATGAGAAGCTTGGATGTTAAATCTTCGGGACAGTTGAAAGGACGAGGTGTTTAGCTTAAAGAAAAGAAGGCTAAAGAGAAGCATTATAGCAATTTTTCAAAAACCTGAAGGACTTTGGCAGGGAGGAGGGTGTAGATTTATTCTCTGTAGTCTTAGCATAAAGCAAAGACCAGTTAGTGAGATGCAAGCTCAAAATAAGGAGTAATTTTTGACTATGAGATCTATGGAGCAGTGGGATAGGTGCATCCTGGAGTCATCCTGAATGCTCCATCATTGGAGTTTTTTAGAAAAAGGTTGTGTCAGGGTAATGACTTAAGAGCTGACCAGCTGCTGCAATGATATAATACTGGGAATGAGTCAGCAAGGTTTTTGGGCTAATATCACTTTAAGAGCCTGTAATAAGAAGAGGCCCTGTTGGGGCGTATCTCCCTCCGTGTGTGCTGCCCTGCTGTTTGTTTGAGGTCTGACTAAAGTATGTGTATGTATATATTCTTTGTAGATAAAACCATTATTTAAATACCCGTTTACTGTATTTGCTCCTGGATTGTCTCACATAGTCACACTGTACGCATTTTGACAGGTTGGTAGGCATTTCTCCAGGAAGATGTGAGGATTCCTGCAGTGGGTGGACTCAACCACCACGGTTCCACCTAACAATGGTTTGAATCAGGATGTTGGTGCCAAAGCAATTTTTAATTTTTTAAATTTTATTTAGTTATTAAATTTGTATGCCACCCATCTCATCAAGTGACTCTGGGCAGCTTTGAGTACCATAAATAACAAAACAAATACAAGATTAAAACATTAAAAGTTAAAACATTAAAGCTAATATTAAAGTAAATAAAAAGAAGCAATGCATATTTGGGTGGAAGTGGGACCTTCTACCAATCTACTAGCCACCTCTAAAACTCCCCCTATCAGGGTCCCAAGCCAGTTTGCCAAGCCAGATTTTCTGCCTCTTTTGGAAGGTCAAGAGGGTGGGGGCAGATCTTACCTTGGGGGTCATGATATTCCAAAAGACAGGAGCCATGGCAGAAAAGGCTCTTCTGACCCCCGTCAACCACAATTCTTTGGCCAATGGGATCTAGAGCATGCCCCTTCTCCCAGAGTGAATGGGGTGGCCCAAGCCTATTGGGCTGAGACCTATGCCACAAAGGGCTCTAAAGGAAATAACCAACACCTTGAATTAAACCTGGAAGCAAACTGGGTAAAGCAATAACTTATTTTCCCCATGGAAATAATGCTAACTAAAAAAATTGCCATTAATTTATCCAGCTTAAAAGTCCTCTTTTTTTTCATCCAAATGTGGAGTGAGATTCACTTTTACGGTATAAAAGATCAGTCTTAAAAAGCAGCTCTTGATTTGTTCGTTCTGAATGGTTCCACTGATTACCAAATGTCACGACAGGTGTGTGGCTTTACTGATGCTCGTATGATAATAGGAGGTTGAATAATTAACCAAACAGTCAACATGCCTTTAATTTAGACATTAATTATAGCTTTTTATATAATGGCAATTAGAAAAACATACTGCAATTTATAAGCCTGTTATGCTACTTAAGAAAAATAGGGTAAGAATAAAATTGCTAGAAAATAATAGGCTTTTAATTTGGTAAAGTACAAATAATTGCTGCATGCTTTCTCTGGGTTGAAATAAATTGCTCTCTCACCCCCTTTCTAAATTAGGGTGACCTCATCTATCAAACAAAACCAGTCTGCCTTTGATTCATGGTTGCACAGAAATGTTCCGAATGAAAGAATGCTCCATTTTCTGAGATCTTATTCTTTATCCTATTAAAGCTCCAGGTTCCTAACTAGCCTTGTATCTGATTGAGAAGAAAGAATGTTTACTGTGACCACTAGTGAATCATGGATGGAATTCAAATGGCTGCATTAAAGCAGGATCATTTTCTGTTAGCTGCTGTGCCTCCTGAAGTCATTTTTCTTCAGAGCATATCTTAGATGATCAAGAACATTTCAGCCAATAGCAAATGAATACATTACTGTGAGGAGAAAAAAAAACCTCTGGCAGAAAGGATAAGTAAGGCTCCAACCTTACACTATAGTTAAGCTGACTTGAGGGTGGTGGAGGAGAAAGATATAGTGGAAGCCCTTTACGTGTGAAAAGATCAAGGCTCTGTTTGCTTCAGCTAAGCTGGTGGAGGTGGTTTCCCCTTCCCTTCTTCTCAGTCACTGAACTTTCCTACTGTGCTCCTGTCCAGTGCTCACTAGTTCTGATCCTGCTCAACTTTTTTGAACTGAGCCCAAATAAACTAGATGTCAGCGTCTCGGCGCTGACATAGAAAAGGGAGGATGAAGCTTGAACTTTTGCCTGCTAAATCCCTTTGAAGTTTCGATCTCCTTGGAGATGAAGGGGGGGGGGGAAACATTCCTGTGAACTGACAGGAAAAGAAATCAGGAGAGTGACTTGGAAGATAGCCAATGAGAAGCAGAGAATTGGGGATCGGAAAGGGAGGGATTGGGGGGCAAAGGTCAGTACTGACCGTGCAGAGTCATGGTCCGGTTGCTGTACTCGAATAAAGAGAAAATTTCCTTAAAGATTGGAAGTTTGGAAGGTCATTTATTTTGAGATAGCATCGAAGCTTGACACTAGATGCTCTCTTACAGAGTTGGGCTTCACATAATGTAACAACCGGTTCACCTAGTTCAGAACCGAAAATGTTAGTGCACGCTTTGCTCGCGCATACACCTTGCGCGAGGCTTCAAACATACAGCGATTTCATGCATGTGGCTTCCATCACAATTTATCGGGCAGCTGCGGTGAGTAGAGCGGGTGAGGCACGGAAATCAGCTGGCCTGCGTGGGCAGGGCAAGCAAGCCAGAGTGAGATCTATAGGATGGGATAGCACCAGGATGGGTGGGCGAGCTCAGCCGGTAGGCGGAATTACCGGTACGGGCGAACCGGCCTGAACCGGCAGCAGCCCACCTCTGCTCTCATATGAACACAGACAGAACTCCTAACTTGCATGAACAGAATGTTAACTATGCCTCTGTCATCAGAAAGATATTGAAAAAAATGGCAGGGATTCGGCAGCATATCTGCTGGTCGAGCAGTTAGAACAAAGACAAAGTACGAGTGGGATAGAAGGACAAGACACTACCTTTTGCTTGCTGAATGTAGCAGAACTGGGGTGTGGTGTCTGTCACAAAACTGGTGTGAGGGAAAGTTGAATAGAATAGAAAGGAAAAAGCAATGTAATTAAGAATCACTACTTTCAATGGAGGGCATTCCATATGCCACAATGGAATGTAACCTATGATGCAAATCAGCACTGGGTTTTAGCAATTCCAACTCAAAAGGTTTACAGCCTTTAAAGTTCAGAAGGGAACTTCAGAAGAAAGACACTTTGCTTAAAATAATCTGTTTACTGCACGCATGTGGGAATGCATAGCAGTATTTCTCTTCATAGAACATTAATAGCCAGCTGAACATGGAGCATCTGTTGTTACCTTATTCAGGGATTTTGTGCTTTG